TTATTTGTTTCATTGCTTATTAGGACTGTTTCACTAATGAAAGGAAGAATTGATCAAGTCGAATAACCATCATCCGAATGACGTCATCCGAAGCATTTCAGTCTAGGCGGATATTCATGAAGAAGTTTCCTTTCTTTCGGCATTTACTCCGTAAACGACTAATAAAACCTCGAAAGAAGGCCAACTTGCACACCGCGGTATCATCCCGCATCCGATGAGCCTGTTTGGAAGCGGAATTAAGGGAGGGAAAGCGTCGAAAAGTCGCGAACGGACGGACGGACACAGCGCTTTTACTATATATATAATAATAATAAATAATAATATATAGGGGGATAGGGGGATAGGGGGATTTCTCCCCTGTGGTACCTGAGCCCGCATTTATTGGCTCCGTATCGAGAATAATGATCCCCGGAATACCAACTCAGCGACGCGAGACGATCACGTAGGGGAGCTCTCGTCTGAATTCCCCCCAGGCCGGAAATTTCTCTCAAAGGCTCTGCCAATCAGCGATGCTATCCCTATTATGAGGAGCAGATCGCACGCATGACATTCCGCAGGTGCTTATCACACTCAAGTCCTTCCCGCTCATGTTTGGATCCGCAAACGAGTGCAGGGTTACCTACGCACATCCTGGAGCTTCAACTCACGCGGTGCATCTTACGAGATATTGCTCGACGAGATCAGAATTCACACCCAATCGGTGTAGAGTGAGCGACGATCTCTTTCGGAAATATACGATTTCGGAAATGGATCCCAGCACCACGATCCAGATGAGAATGATTTGTTTTTGAATCCTCCGAGTCCGTGTCCGACAAGGGTGATATGAAGATATGAGTCATTCCTGGGCACAAGACAATGGGGCCATCGTGATTCCGACCTTTCGACGCCGACAACTCGATGTCGAGACGATTCGATGTGGGACGACTCGATGCAGGACGAGTCGATGCCATGACGGCTCGATGCCGGACATCTCAACGCTCGAGTAGATCCCTCTCTAGTCTCTTTATCCATTTTCCTGTTTTTTCTTGATCGAAGGCAGGTAGGTCGGGGAGTGGTGCAAGGCCTTCGAGCAGAGCTGAGAGGGCTCCTACAGTCGAAGGTTGTTGAACATTCTGCGGTCCGTCTCCTTCCATGGCTTGGGTTCCGTTTCCTGCTGCTACAAAATGTAACGTGTGATAGGCGAGATAACGAAGGTTGGCAATGAATGTTACTTTATCCCTGCGGAGGCTAGCGTTTTATACTTTCAAGGCGGCGCTCGAGTCGCCTCAATACTACCGAAAAGTTTATCGGGTAGCCCGGTTCGTAAATAAATTGGAGGGATGGCTCATAGTAGGGTAAATGACGAGGGAGATAAATCGGAAGAGCTTCTGCACTTGAATGAATCGTCCTCTATTCCTGTATAGCACAAACGAAGGTGAAGTCTTGATAAATTGGCGGAGCTCTGGAAATTTAAGCGTGTGTGTGCCGGAGTCTCACTTGAATCCCGGATACCCGGTCGACCTCGGCGTCGGAGTGTTGGACATCGGGCTATCTTGGCATCGGAATAACCGGCAACGAACTATCTTGGCGTCGAGATGACCAGCATCTGACTGTTTCAACATCGAAATGTGCAGCATCGAACCGTCTCGGCATCTAATAGTCGGCATCGAATCGTCGGCATCGGGTTTGGCGGCATCGAGTTGTCTTGGACCGGACTGGCTGCCTGCGTTTTCCTCAGGAATTTTCAACGGGCAGCAGGATCGAGCTCACGCCACCTCCCCTCACTTGAAGCATCCCGCGGCATTTCACGAAGTGATTTCCACTTCCACGGAAAAGCACTTTGCGCATAGATTCCGCTTGCAACGTACGCATTTGAGGAACGAGATCCCACGGCAAGCATCGCCGAAACAAATTTCGGTGACCGGGGACAACGTCTGCGCGAAACTCAGGGAGGGTATCTTCGACATATCGAAGCACGTTGAGACACCAAAGAGAATTCCCGACGATATTCTGCTGTCAGGGTCGACTCAATATCCGCCAACCATCTAGCTTCGTCCGTTCCCGCACGATCTGACTCGAGACGGAGTCCCCCTACCCACGTCGCGACGGTCCAACAGCCTCCATTCCTGGTAGAATCCTGAGCTATGGGGGCGAGACGTACGGATTGATGATTTGGCCTGGCAATGGGAAATCGAACGGTCGTCGCACACAAGTGTTTGGTTCCCCTGATCGAACCAGAAGGAGGGAGATCTCCAACGAGGAATTCTGAATTGAGTGAATTAAAATGGATAGGAAGGCAATGTTTCCGAAACCACACGGTCAGCACGAGCGTGCTCGGATAGCTCCGCTCAGATGAAACATTTCCAACCAACACGTCTAAGTCAATTTTATTTGCAATCGCGTTTCTTTTTATGACGTCCTTTCGTAGTGAATGGCTCTATACAAGGGAAAGCATTGAGGTCATCACAGCGAAAAACTTTGGCAACTCTTCGAAAGCCGTGAATCACTGAGTGAGAGTACCTAGAAGCTCGAAAGGTTTCTGATAGGACACGACTCATAACGCGCGAAATCGACCATTCAACTTCCGCTATAAATCCCTCCATGAAGAAAAATAGACTAAACATCGAAGATGTCGCCGCATACCTACTCATCAGAGATCGTAATGGCTGTGACGGAGTGGCTGTCGCAAAAAGTGTTCTCAAGAAATTCGTTGAATCCATTCCTGCTTCATTCCTACGACTAACGCTACATTCGTCTTCGTCGACTACTCTCAACAGAACAGACCCTACCACTATACAATTTTTCTGCGCGTTGACGGCGACGATCCCACTGGCAGCTGATCTGCGCAGTGGTATATATTCATATAAGTGTGTATCTGGAAATTAGTACGATAATAATCATCGCTCTCGCTGCTATGAGATCTAGATCAGGTGCAGCCCCGTCAATTGATTAATCAGGTGTCGACCTGCATTGTGTACATTTCTCCGAGAATCTTCTCTACCCGAATGTTGCCGATGGTGCCTTTGAAAAAAAAGTTTCTCGATGAAGACGTTCGAGATCGATCGTAGAATCGGAAGTAACAGCAGAAGACGTCCAAAGCGTGTTGGTTGCCTCGGATATCGTTCCCTGACATAGTCGCCAAGCACGCATTGAGCTTGATCTTGAAGCATTTCAACCGGGTGGGTATCGCACAAGCCCATTGTCTCTGCAAATACGGAAAGGAGGCTTGAATTCCGACTCAGGGCTCGGAAAAAGTTTCGGGACAACTATTCGCTTGACGAAAATTCCCGGGGGCCATCGGCACCTCGACGGAAGTCGCTCTTACCAGGTCTGAAAAGAACAATGGCCTTTAAGCAACTGCATTCAGTGTCGTCAGGCGAGAGCTGACGCAAGCGACGCATAACGTCCTGAACGTAATGGATTTCGATTGGATTGAGTTCGTCGTGATGTACGGCGGCGGGACTAACCGCGTCCCGTTCAGGCGAACCCGTCGGTGATTTGGGCGAGGAAGGTCTCGATGATTTAGCGGGCAGCGAAGATATGAGATCAACGCCCGGTGACCAATGCGACATGTATAGCAGAAAGAGATCCTTCCATGGTTCCTCCAACAGACACACTTGATCTCCGCGAGAAAGAGTTTGGAACGTTGGAAGACATTTCACCCAACGGATTACCATGAACAGGAGTCGTGCTGTGATTTCCTGAGTCGTTGCTCCCACCAACGGTGCGACAGCTATAGGGGGAGCCATTATAGGTCCGCTAGGACGGACTTCTGTCGAAGTCGAACCGCTTTCAGATGCCGACGAAGACACCGTGAGTAACGGTGAAGTGCAATTCGACGGTGGACGTTCGGACGTATCTTCCGTCGACGGTGAACGCGGTCGAGCGAATCCTGTCAGACCTGGAAAGACAGAAGGCAGGGTTTGGGGAGGTCTTAAAATGAGGGAGGAGAATCTCAGAGTTGAATGGTATTGTGAGTCTGAGCTCCGATAGATGAGCCGCGACTCCAGATCCCGAGAGGGGACACGACGCGAAACTTGGCAGTCCGCGGAAGAGCTTCCCGATCGGGTCCGTAGCGGACGTGATATTCATAGAGCGTCGACAGAAGATCGGGGTGTGATACGAGGCGTTTCGGCTGTTCGGCATGCGTCGAAGAAAAGTGCTCGGCTTACCCATTAATGAATGCGGAGAGGTTGTCGGGGTTCTGGTGGTCCAATCGGAGGCAGTCTGAGGCGCCGGCGGCAGAGGAGGTGGAGGACCGCGCAGAGCGGAGGCTGCTGCACTCGTTGGGTTCAGGAGCATTTGAAGGAGTCCAGCAGAGGAGTTGAGCATCAGGGCGGGCGGCAACGATAGTGGAGAGGATGAGGAAAGAAACGAAGGCGGGACCGCCGAAGCTGAGGGATATGGAGGCGAAGGGGAAAACGCTAGCGGGGGACCCGGCGGTAAGAATGGAGAGCTCGTCGGAGGGGCTCCACCACACAGGGGTCCGTTGTCCCTGCAAAGGATCAACACATACAAGAGCTCAATCGAGACGTCATCGACGAATAAGAAACGAGCTCGCTCGCTGCCTGCCTGCTCCCTCGGAGGACCAGCCGAGCGACCGACCGACCGACCAAACGATCGAGCGGCTGGAGGATGACGGTCCGGGGAACATATAAAAGACAACGGAACGAGGAGGGCAGGCCTCCTCCTTTTATTCCCGGTTCTCACTCTGTCCATTATAAGCCTGCAGGACATCGAAGGAAACAGCCAGCCAGCCAGTTCGACACGGTCCCAGAGGCTTAGCGGCCTTTCGGTGCCCACGTCAAAAGATGGATCGTCTCTTGTTGTACGAAATCCGCTGCGTGACACACCATCTATTTCTGTGACATACCGACGATGCAAGCGGCACGGTATAGAGAAAACAAGTAATACGGGGAATCCATCTTGGAAGGAGAGGAAGAAAAGAAAACTCACCGATGCCGATTTTGCGTGAAAAACGGGCTTTTCGGAATTTTGGGACCACCCATGTCCGACACGTCTTTGAATTTCGGTTTTCGAGGTCCTCGCTCATGTTGAACGGCTGAAAACACCGGAGCATAGGGTGAAAATCCACAGTCCGTGTAGGACGTCGATCTGGCCACTGAAACGGCCAAAGGCCATTCATCTCCGTCAACATAACTCGCGGCGATAAATACGACCATTCGCTTTTCGTATGATTCATTTTGTTGTGCGTTATGACGATCCGATAGCTCATGCTTACCGTCTTTGTTCATGCTTGCTTCGAAGCACTTTTTGAGTCGGCACGCGCGACACTGATTGCGGTGCGTTTTGTCAATAGGACACTTGCCCTTGAAGTCGCCCTGGGCCTTACACGTGTACACCCGGTTGCGATGAATGCTTCGCTTGAAAAAGCCTGAGCAGCCTGCGGAGGGAAACGAACCCTATCGTTATAGTTGGACAGCACATGAGGCACTCGTGGGCAATGGCCTTAACCCTTCCGCGTGAGGATCGCGAACGGAAAAAGTCTCCGACAAAAACTCCACCATTCTTCATTAGCCGCCGCGAAGTGCGAGAAACACGGGGAATGGATGCAGCCGATGCTCGCTGTATCCCTGAGCAATCCGAGTCCTTCTCTCGGACCCTATCCGGTCTCGGGGCATCACCAACAAAACATTTGGCTCATGATTGTGGATTGTGCATCGAGCTTGATGATCAGAGATCACGAGATATAGTAGTAGGTATAGGGTTTCAGAGATTCGATTCACACCCAGAGTCCACAATGAAAGCTGGGACGCCATCGTGCGCCTCGCCCGGAGACCTGAACGGCTTTGTGCCCATAACCAGTTCAGACAGCTCGGACGGGGAAGCTCCGAAAACGTCGGAGATTAAGCGAACAGAGGACGTAGCTCACAGAAACCTACCGTCACAGCTGTAGATTCCGTAGTGCTTTCCACTGCTTCGATCACCGCAAACTCCGCAAGGTATATCTAGTAGACGATCACCGCCCAATGGACGAGCTGAAACGAAATAATCATATTGTGAATCCCCCGGGCACATAGAGCAAATTCTTCTTCCTGCTCCCCGTCGAGGAAGAGCTGTTTTCGCGGGACTTGCTGCTTCACGGTATTTCACCTCCGATTTTCTAAGGAACCCACGGAGAAACCGAATCGGCACTGAGGGTAAATCACGCTCGACAATCGGGAAACAACTTTCCGCGGGAAGATAGCGGCAGGAAAAGATAGGGAAACCCGTGAGAGATCCCTCAGTATGTTTTTGTTCCCGCGAATCGCCCATATCACGAAGTCTCCGTTCCTTTCGGCAAGTTATCGTCGACGACGACATCTCGCGAATCGGTCGCCGCCTCTGCCACCGCTGGATTCCGATGTGAGCTCATACATCTCTCGGAGTGTCGAGAACGCTATCATCGAGTGGCAGGACCGAGTCCCCCCGAAGCGAGCGGGCAACGGTCTGTCCATATGGTGGTTTTCCCAGCCAATCGTCCATTACATATTGATTAGATATTCAAAGTCGAGCCATACCTCTTGGGCGAAAATTTTGACCCAAGAACTTCGATGCCGGAGCGCTCCCCTCGAAGCGGCAACGGAGTTTGCCATCGTTCGCGGTTTGAAGTTTTCGATGGAGAAAGTTCGAGTTCGAGCCGCTCGGGCCCGAGAAGTTCGCGATTTTGGGATCGCTCCCATGGAATCGAGCTCCTCGATCAAAACGACGGATGATATCTTCTAGACATTTATCAAGTACAGTGATCCCCCGACGTTCATCCGAAGATCGGCTCGTACGGAAGGTGAAGAAAATGAAGCTTGGGCATGAGCCATTGGATAACACCTTTTATGTCGCTGAGATGAGTGCATGAGCTTAGCGAGTGAGATATTCGACATGATGCTCTTCAAGGCGGATCTCCGAAGGCGGTAGCCGGCTGCGGAGCACCGTTCACACACACACATACACAATGAGTCGTCTACTCAGACGTTTGAAACTTCGCAATTGTAACAGTCATCAGCCACAGAGCCAGCCGGCTCGTAACGGGACACCGGAGAGCCGCGTGTTCCCGCAGCGCGTGAGAAATTCGATATTTTGTTGTGCATTTTGTTGCTCCTCGTATATGTATTTTACATTAGCACATTGTCAACAAACTGTTTGGCCAAAACACGCATCTAACTTCACAATATACGACAAAAGAGGCTTCGAGGGCTCCGCCCCGGTTGCGCATTTGACACCACTCGAGTCGACTGTTTCGACACTGCTGGAGTTCCTACCGTTCTGTATCTCGAAGTAATCCGAGATGAGGTCTTGCTGAGCGAGTTGAGGCAATACACAATTCTCCAGAGACGACCACCAAAGAACGCCTTAACTTACGGAGTTTTTCGCTTTCTTGTCTTCCTCCATACGCTCATGTCTCGCGATACTTCGGCTGTCGTGGATGTATTATTATCAATGGTGGCTATCTCATCCGAAAAATGAGACTTTTTCTCTCCGGTACTCATCTGGCTTCCCGTCCGCTCGGTCAGTCATGTCTCTTATGAGAGCAACCGAGCTGAAGCGAGGAATGCCGGACTAGTCCTGATGGAATCCTCGTAGTTGGCAACCGAGACATCCCCTCTCGCAGACGTCGGAGCGACTTTGAGAGTTGGGATTGATGCCCCGGTGGCGAGGTTGACCAACAAGCCCCCCGGATCGAATTTACAAATCCGTCGAGGGCGGTTTGCCCGAGTTCTAGACAAACACCGACCGATCCTATTTAACCGCAACTCCTTAATCCGATGAACACCGTCCGGATGGCGATCACTTACGGCGCTCGAATCATTGGATTTGAAGAAAGACGCGCCAAAAACTCTCCTCGAGTCTAGATGCCTGGTTCAGAAGTCAGAGAATCGCTAAATTCTCTCTTCTGTCTAATGAGAATTCATTCGTATGCTCGGAAGGCAATGGCTCCCACTCTGGACAAATCTGCTACCATGAGAATGATTCCGTTAGCGAGAGGAGTCTTCGCGGTTCTCACCACGAGCCGCGCGTTCGTCTGCCATATGCTGTTAAATCAAGGTTCGGATGTGTTTCTTCTATGCTCCGCTGCTCCCCAGATGTACGACGTCGCACACTGGAATCAACATACAGCTCTCGACGGGTATGCACTCCTGTATGGGAGAACCCACTTTAATCGCCCACGAAGCAGCTCGGAGCTGGCGAAGAGCTTCATTGCTCTCGAACGCGGCGGCCTCAAATGACGAAACGTCCACGACCATCGAGTGGAGTCACAAAGTCGTGACTTGTTGAGCCCAACCACTTGCGAATTGCCTCGAAAACTCAATGCCGAAAACTACTACGCCGATTCAGACACGGTCACGGTAGGAAGTTCTGGGACCGACGGATTACGCACAGCAATTTCGCGAAAAACAGCTTTTTCGAACTTCCGACTTGACTTCTATTAGTAACGGAGAGTTCACAGGACTGTCCTCCTACTCAAGGCCATAAGGTTCCAGGTGGTTTGTGTTCGTTTTCAAATCGCTCTTGCGACCGTCGGATCCGACACCCGACGCCGGAGCCGTAGACTCATTGATCATGGAATTTCCGCAGAACATGGGTTCTAGACTCGTCGTCCACGGTCGATCAACGACGGAGATGGACAGGATACGAAAATCGACAACACTTGTCCTCGATGAAGGGCTAATCTGAGCTGAGTTTGGATGCAAGAGAAAACGTGTGGCTTCACTTTCAATAAACTCACAGCTGTTCGAGGAGGACTTGAAGAAAAACTAAAAACGAGGAGCTGAGTGAGAGAAAAAACGAAAACGAGTGCTCATGACGTCGCTAACGAGTACTTCCGTTCACGAATCCCGATCGCTTCAACATGTGTTCAATCGAAGGTCTTCTATTGCCTATCAAGCGACTTACGCACTGGTTTCTCTTGCACGCCTCGTCTACCATCATGGGATCGATCTCCCTTCTAATTCGCCGTCCAACCTACCGATCGACCGCGCGGCTAAACACCGAGCTTACGGGAGTCGACGACAGCATTCGTTCCGCGGGGTCAAATGTTAATCGAATCTGGGCGCAGCAGCCGCCATTCAGCAGAGCCTCTACGCTTAAATTTTTGATCATAGCTTCAATCGGATTCTCGTATTCCTGCGGATTGACTCCGAATCTTAGCCCAAATGGTAGATATTCACAAGGCGCAACACTTTTTTTAATCATTAAAATACGAGTCCTCGTGGGCGAGTTGGTTAGGCTTATACATTCACAGCTGGAAGGTGATCGCGAGAACGTCTCATCTGGAGAAAAGTGACTACGAACAAAGTACTCACAGAAGTCGTCCAGGTTCAGAGGCAGCGACGAAAGAGCAATCCTACTCTTGTAGAAGATCATAGTTTGCAGGCACTGACACCCCTCGAGCGCACTGTTTCCTATGTATTTCGCTCCCTGACACTAGACTCATAAGCGGAACGAGGGGGGAGGGAGATCGTTGGAAGGATCGATGAGGTCACGGGGGGATTGCTCGGGAATGGAGTCAAGTCAACGTCGGAGTCCGAGCACCGGAAAATACGGGAACTTAATCGGATGCACAGTCTTGGCACACTCTTTTCAGAGCGATGGGATCATTTACTCTGCATTGGACGTCGCGGAACGGATCGAACTGAATACTGAAGCTTTCGCAATGGAGTATGACAGTTCTCACGCGCGATCTGTGACGGTTCGTGCAGGCGGAGTATTCTACACTGGCGCTGCGTTTCCTCTCGAGATCAACCGCCGTCCGCGTCAACGACACCAAGTGTCGAAACGAGAGTCCTGGCGGCAGTGGTTCGCGAGCTCACTCTCAGTGGATCGCTCTCATTCGCTCCCTCGTTCATTCATAATGAGACTAAAATAGAGAGAAGCTACGAAGTCAGCCCACTTAGGCCCGTCCCAGGAGTGAGGGCCGAGCCAATCCGTGGCGCTCAAGCTCGCAGCGTATAGAAACCACCGCACGCAGACATACACGGACAAGCTCACTGACGGTCTCTCGGTCGGTTTCTGCTCTCTCTCTCCCAGTAATGCCCTCGAGTGAACTCTTTTTGTCGACTCCTACGTCCTTATCAGTCCCGTGGTATTCGGCGGATATTTCAGTTGTTTGTCGAGCTAGAGAAATGTGAAATATCTAATGCGCTCTCTCGGTATCTCGCATAGTCTTCGAGAGATTTTCCACAAGGATGAGAGCCGGAGAACGGCATCCGGAGCCCTGCGTGACGACTGTGATAGGATTTCCATCAATCGACCTCAGAACCAGATGACAAAACCCTACACAAACGTACCTACAAGAATTGCAGCCAGAGAGCATTCGAATGTCTTTCAAAGTTAGGAAGCTATAGTTTTAAATAACACCGGCGGACATAACTGGGCTTTCACTTGGGCAACTCACGCTTTTCCATCGTCGAGTCGCACTTCGCTAGCAAAGTCTGTCCGGCGCTCTTGGCCCAAGGCCATCGAAAAGACTGAAATTAAAGCGGGACGTCAGTAAACAACTCTGGCCATGAGCGATCAATAACTCAACGTCGTTTAGGCCGTGAGCCTGAATCGCGGTCTCGGATCGAAGTCGGAGTCAATAATTCCGAGAACATTGACTTCAGGAATGGGGTGATCGAAGTTCCTTAGCGTCGGAACCTTAGGTTTCGGCGGCAGTTTGAGGGAATATTTCTCTCACCTAGAGAGAAATCACAGACCATCTAATTAGGGGGTCGGGTCGCCCCGGGGAAGGCGAAGTCGAAATTTCACCTTGCTCAAATTCTTTCGGCGCGCTCCAGCGGTCAAGAAGTTAGGCATCAATCGAGGGATGATCTGTTCGTCATCGGGATAGAACGTCCGTCCAGAAAACCCATAAATGTCACACGAATATCGATAAGAGGCTTCATCAGCTCCTTCAGTTGGGGGAGAAGATATGATGTGGCCGGAGACCGGTTTCACTTTTCTGGAGAGCTCGCACCCGCTTCGAGAGCTCGAACGAGTGGTATGATATACACTTGGACTCCTGAATCCATCTCGAAGAACAAAACCTTGCAGAATACCGCACTACTAGGAAATCAAGGCACTTCGCGCGCATTGTCGATCAAGTAGCTTGCGGGCACTGAGAGTGACTCTAAAATCAGCTGCTTTCATGGCTCATTTTCGTGAATCAGCTGAGGTTCAACGTTACGAGCGGAGAACATACAATAATTGGATCTGGCTCTGTCAGGAAGAAACAAAAATGTCCGGGACTGTCGAGGCGGGAACCCAATCGCTCCTAGATAGATTCCTGAATCCGTACTCACCTCGTTAGGAGTTGGCACCTTGGGTGTCGCAACATCCATGATATTGGTGATAGAGTCACTCCCTGCTGAGCTGAGACGTACCGGGAGATGAATCGGTTGAAGGGTTTTTACCGGAGAAATTCACAAGAGCAACAATCGGTTCCTTAATATCGGTCTACGTCGCAAACGATGGCGCCGCCATGGTAGTCGAGGAGATAATCGGAGAAAGTCCAGGTGAGCCGGATCGGAGTGATGAAGTCAAGTGAAGTCAGTGATCATATCATCGGTCGGGTCAGAGTTCAGAGTCAGTCTTGAGGGGTTGAGGTCATGGCAAAACGTCACAAGGGCGACGTTGATGGTCGAGCAAGCAGGCGAACGGAGCTAGCGGTTTTTCCTCTACAGAGAACACGGGTCGGAGAATGCAGTCAGACAGAGATATGTTTCCGAAGAGTGAGTATCTCTTCGCGGCTCGGAGAGCCTCTCTCGGCGGTCGTCAGGACCTATCTAGGCTGATTTTTTGGCTGATCCTCGTCCTCCTCCTTCGTTTGGTTGCGCTCCTCACTCGGCTGGTGAATTCACTCGCTTCGAGCCGAGTCACGTGGTCACAGCCCCGCCTATCCGCAGTCGCCGCCTCCCATGCTCGACCACGACGACGACGATGACGACAACGACTCCTTACTCCTGAGCTGACTCTGGGAAAGAGTCGAGACTCGACTCCTTTCGGCTCTGTCACGATGATGATGATGATGATGACGACGTCGACAACAACGACCGCCGTCGTATGCTGCCAACAGCGGACTGGGTTTTCGGAGGTCCGTAGCCTCCAACATAAAGTTGCGTAAGCATCCGAGTACCCGAGGAGGATCTCTCCGTCTCGAAGGACACTTATTCTCTTCCTATCGCAGTCGTCTTCATGGGACTGCGAGATGCGCAGCGCCACTTTCCACAAGAACTCTTCCCGTTCCTGAGCTCGTCATTCGATCTCGGAGATCGCATTGTAGCCTGAGCAGGCGCGGAGAGACAATGAGTTCTGTGATCTTCCGACATCTACGCAGACTTGCTCTATCAAGAATGTTCGGATAGGAATCCTTGAGTCGCAGTCTTTGAGAGTACAGAGCTCGGACTACAGGGGCTCGGGTTTTTAGAGCATTCAAGTTCTGATTCTCGACTGCCGTGTTGCCCGTCGAAAGCGAGACGGGTGGTTTGCGGGCGAAGTCAAAATTCAGTTGATACCAGGCAATCGGGTCTAAGAGAGACTCTCAAATCGAACAACTGTCCCTCGATCGGTGACCGATAAGAGTTCTATGCGAACGGGTCCCTAGATTGGCGGAAAAAACGGCGCTTTATCCATCGGGAGGGATCTTCAGGCTCGCAAGGTACATGAGGACAGGGCGTGTGATGGAATGCAAAATCCAACTCAGGCCTCAATCAGCACTCCAGAAGCTCGAGCGAAGCTCAGTGAGTCCTGAGTGGAACAAAGATGGCTCAGTTTCTCGCTCATGTCGATAATGACTCTCGGAGAGCAAGAATCAGCACACCTGTAGCTCCCAAATGGCTTTTTCACGAGGAGAAGTCAGAACCGCCTCCGATAGAGCGGGCAGGAACAGCCAGAATATTTCCCTCTATCCTTACCCAGTGCTGCTGCAGACCATCGACACAGATCACTTCGTCCGGGAGCTGTCACTATGTCTCCAAGCCGTTCTTGTCTCGTGAAGACTGCGGCAACGTGAATGTTTTCCCCACTTTCTATGACACCTCGATGGGATGGTCGGAAAATTCCTGGCGACCTCTACAATCAGAGTTCATGTGAAACTTACCGTCCTCGAGCCCAGACGTGATCTGCAGGCACTGACTCTAAAGCTGTTATGGAGGAACCGGGAGTGACTTATGGTCTACGAGGAATGACCCTAAATATCGCGCATCTGTTTCGAGATGACCTAGAAGTTGGTGCCGCACGTGTCATCGTCATCGGCGACCAACTTGCAACAACTAAATTACCAGGCCTTGACAAGTCTTTTCTGTTGCAAATTTTCCTCTCCGAAACACCGGCGATATCAAATGAGTGACAGCCGATTCGGATATCCGCCGCTCTCCCGCTCTGCATATTTTCACGGCATCGTCCGAGAGAGCTGAAATTTTCACTGATTTTTTCATAGAGCGCGATTCCTACGGTGGTAGATTTTCCTCGAGACAGCTTTCTCTGAATAACGGTCCTCTGATAGCTGACAACAGGTCCCGATGTTATCCAGGGGAAAGGCACCGATCCCTACTTGCTCGGGGAGCGGTCTGTAACTTCCTATAATCCGAGTCCCACTTCTATATCCGGGCAGACTCATCGTGAATCTACCTCGGATGGTTCTTGTGACCGTGCCGTGGAGTGTGAATTTCCATGAGCTCAAGTTGGGTTGTCGTGGCGGTTCTCAACGCAGATTGAGCCCAATCCACGGATAGAAGTTTCAAGATTCGATCTATGGTTTTCGGAATGTGGACTCACTATGGAAGGGAAACTTGACACGGACAAACAGGAATTTGGGGAATTCAAGGCGGATACGGATCGAACGAAGCCCCGGAAAACTGATTGAGCGCTCGATTATCGCCTCGGTCTGCTCCCTCGACAATGTTCCGGAACGAGGATCGCGAGGTCAATAATTCATTCTCATCTGCAATATCGGCTATATATATAGGTCTTCAAGAGGTCTTCAGTCGCACCTTCCGTACCTTCCGTTGCCATCGATAAGCAGATTCGAAGGGCAAAGCCTGAAGCATTCGCGGTGACGGAATTGAATCGAGACGAGACAGAAGGCACTGGAACCAACCGGCAAATAACGACTACGACGACCGCAGCGCAGCATGGACCGACAACTGGCGGCCACTAGTATTATGCGTCCATTCATCTTGCCCTCGAGCTGAGCTGGTGTGGGGCACAATGGCAAAGAGGGCCGACTGTTCATTAAAATGAAATATTAACATAATCGTTGCTCGTGTCGTGCTCGTTCACTGTCCCTGCGGCGGTTTCTCCATCTCCTGCTCCTCGTCGCTCTCCTTTTCGTTGTACTTGTCCCGCTACGCTTTCATTCCGGAAGAGAGCGTGACGGACGAAGCAGTAGAGTCCGCTATACGAAATTCATCTGACTGTCGACGCACGAGCGCACTCGGTTTCGTTTACTTTTCTGTACGTCTTCGATTAATTAGCAGCGACAAACTGCTCTCGGAGAAAGAAGGACCAGCTCCCGTTAGTTTCAGTCTGAACGGACCGAGACCGCAGCGACGCCAACGAGAACCATTTGGTGGACGGATGGAACTTCGTCGAGAGAATCGTCTATTTTCTTGCCGTTTGGTCTCGGATACGAGATGCGTGACGTTCGGCCTGACGCAGAGGTTCCGTTTGCGTGTTGTGGCCTGCAGAGGGTAAGGCCGATCTTCCCGGTATTGATTCGATTCCAATGTGTACGAGTTCCCGGGGGCGCGGACGCTTCGCTGTGAACTCATGCAATTCTCTGCGATCAACCGCATAGTTGGGACCAGGATATTCGGGACTTCTGCCGAAGATGGAAAAATGACGCAGAAGTGTGGCGTCCATTGGAGATCCAGCGAGCGCCGGCGCCGCCCCGTCCAGTGCGGACTCGCGTTGCCTGAGCGAGTCACAGCGGGTGGCTGGAGCGTGAGCTTCCGAAGAGGAAGCCACATTCGCGCTCGACCGCCTTTGACGTAGGACGGGGTGCACCTGAGAAGAGAGCAAATGACCGACGAGCGGGCAAACGGCGAAGCAGTACCGGGGCCGGATCAATCGGAGTCAATGGCAGCGACACCGAGCCTTCCCAGGAGATAGAAGGGTATCCGCAGCGGCAATCCAATAGATTTTGCTGGGTTCGTTTTGGCACTTGAGCCGAAATGTTGACCATCCCGACATTCTTGCCCCCAGCGTGCATTCGAATCTTCTTTCGAATCCTGGATGCGACGGCGTTATGAGAATTTCTTCCGGCTTGATCGCGTTGACCTGTCTGTCCCAGGCCAGCAAGATAATTTCGCCAAGTTCAGACCGATGGTTGAATTCCCTGGATCGGACGTCCCATAAAAAAACAATCCACACTTGCCCGTGACGAGGTTCGCTGCCTGGGCACCGGTAGGAGGATGAGCTGTCCGCGTATGCAACGATGGAAATCTGATGGAATATTCAATTATGGCTCACGAATGCAGCAGCCAGAGACGATTCGCCAGGGCAGGCAGGCGGCCAACCAACCAGCAGGTCGGAGTCTGTGTGGATATTTGCATAAAATTCTGCTTAGCCAAGCTCCTCAGGAACACCTCAAGTTCCGCTCCGACTCTCTTAGTAACCGGACAGGATCGTTGCTCTCCGTGCGAAGTTGTGAAAAGTTCTCATTCAAGTGTCGTACGCAACAATTTGGCCACAGCTTGATGAGACGAGTCGAAGAGTAGCAGTTTCCCACAGATTACATGAGCGGCGAATTTTTCAAGGAGTGTTTGAAGAAGAGAGCTCTCCCGCGGAATAGAGAACCTCGCAAATCAAGCTCAACGTGCATTCGATCTGATGTGGATCTCAGACCCAAGTTTTCCATGAAAAAAACGCTCTCTAGGGAATCAGAACTCTCCACCGTCTCTACCGTACTCTCTAACTCTACCCATATTCGCGGGAAAAATATCGGTTCATCGGAGCAGCGCCGCGTTGAGGGGGTAGCGATCGCCATGCCCCATATGAAGATTACATTTCTACACGGATACTGAGCGGAAATTTCTCGACCTCGGAAGCTGATGGAGTCGCGCTCGGATCTCTGCTGTCTACCGGTGGACAGCATCTTTCAGTGTATAGCATCAGAAGCATCGTGAGCGTTGGGGACGTCGGCTTGTGAGGGATGGGAGTGAACTCTCGAAAAGTTTCTCGAGCGCTGCTTTCGACGGAGCTTAGAACGCGATCTTTGTACGATGGGTGTGAGAATGAGTGAATGAGTAAGCGCGAGAGAAGTCGTCGTCGTTGTCGTTGGTGGCGGCGGCGCTACGAGTAGCAAAGCTCCCTTCCCCGTTCTCCCCTTCGTATGCTCAAC